TTTCTATGATTTTATATTTAAATTTAAATCTTGTTTTAAGTCCCTTAAAATTAACATTATTAATAGACATTTTAAAATACAAAATGTTTGATAATCAATTAAGTGAAATAATCAATTATAAATAATCTCATAGTTCACTTATTTTATTATAATTATTATCTATCTTATTTTAATGGGAAATCTCTAGAAAATTCCTAAAATTTTACTCTAATTTACGAAAAAGTCTCAAACTAAATTTTGTTTACGAAAAAACATGAATTACCAGTAAAAATGGCGATTTGACCCTTTTTTCCGGTTTACCAGTTTTATTACTTACCTGTTTCACTAAAGTCTCATTATTTTACCCTAATTTGCGAATAAGTCCCAAAATAAAATTTACTGATGATTTGAGAATTTTCTCTATGTAACATACATTTTACCGGTTTCATTGTTGACCCAGACGCCTAGTCATTGAATGAGATAATGAGATGGATATGTTGAGTTATATAATGTTATGTTTAGCATAAAACTTGATATCCTGATGTATTGTGTATTTTTTTGGAAAATAAAATGCATCCAACGAAGACTACAATAATTACATAAACTAACAACAGCTGCTTTATTTTTTACGTTTATAAGAAATATCAAATTGTTTATCTAATCTTATATAACCAAATATATCCATCTCATCAAACATCAACTCATTTTCTGCCCTTTTTTCTTTGAAACACACATTTTATTGGTTTCATTGCTGACGTAAATACATAGTCATAAATGAGCCGATGAGATGAATATCAAATTTTACAGTAAATGCAACATTATATAATCCATCGTATCCATCTTATCAACTAATTTAATGACTAGGTGGCTAAGTCATCAATGAAACCGATAAAATGTATGTTACATGAAGAAAATGACCAAATCATTAGTAAATTTTATTTTGGGACTTATTCGCAAATTATGGTAAAATAATGAGACTTTAGTGAAACAGGTAAGTAATAAAACCGGTAAACCGGAAAAAGGGGTCAAATCGCGATTTTTACCGGTAATTCATGTTTTTTCGTAAACAAAATTTAGTTTGAGACTTTTTTGGAAATTAGGGTAAAATTTTAGGACTTTTCTGGAGATTTCCCTATTTTAATTTATCAACTATGTATTATACGGGTTATAACCTATTATAACCAAGGTTGCAGAAAGCGTTCGACGTAGGCTCGGCAGTGGACTGGGGTCAAGGGATTAATCGGCTAGGCGGGGATTAATCGGAGACCAATAATTATTAAAAAATTAATAAATATAACATTATTCCTAATAATATAAATAAACATGTTAACAAATATATCAGTTCATTAATGATTTGTTCATTGATGATTTGGATTAAACAACCATATCAGCCAAGAATTACAAATGTTCTTCATATGTTCTTCATTAGTTCTTCAAAATCATGTTTTCACAACAAGATCATTCAAGCCACCAAATTGAGAGCTGCAACAACTTTAAACCACCACCTCTTTGTTACCCATGATAAGGAGGACAACCAAATACAACCACCTGCTCCATTCGTTCGTTTTTGGTCCAACCACCAAACACCACCATTGACCACATTCCTGTTTGCATATGTTCTGCACCATCACACCCTCAGCTACTCCACCACTGTCGCACCATAAATAACTGAGAACCAGACTACCAAACCACCTACATCTTCAATCCATGGTTCTTGATAACTTCACAGATGATCAAGGGACCAAAATTTTGGTGAAGAAATTACCCGAATTCAAATACCCTTCACTCTATCTATCCAACAACATTCACTCAGGCAATTGTTCGAACACTTGGCGGGCAGATGGTTTCATACACAAAACAATTAAAGATTTTTTCCCTACCTGTTACAACCGAGACAAAAATCCAACCAACAATTAAAAAAGATGAAGAAAGAACAAACGAATTTAGAAAGATGAAGAAAGAACAAACATTTTTAAAAAAACATTGCTTACCTGATGTTGCAGATGTCGAAGATGTCGAAGACGAATTCACATTCAATCGCTAACGAGACTCAGAGTAGTTCGAGCTAGCTTGACCAGTTGTATCTCCAGAAAGTAAAACCGAAGTCGTCGTCATCATCTCCAGAAATCAAAGTAAAATCGGAGTCGTCGTCGTTTGAGATTGAGCATCAATTCGTAATTCTTATGCCCTTTTGATATCATTTTTCCGGGTTTCTTCACTTCTCCACCATTGAAACAACATGGACTCATTCTGAACTGACGAATTTCATCTCGACCTAATCCCAAAGTGTCCCTACTTTACCATCGGATTCTATGTGAACAATGACCCGATGCTATGACCCGATGCTAGAGGTACACCCGGTTTCACCCATTTACAAAAATGCACAGCTGCACTTCGTCAATTAGCATATGACATCCCTCCTGATGCGTTGGACGAGAGTTTTAGGATGTCAGCTACGACTGAAAGATCTAGTATGCTTAAGAATAATATTAAAGTGATATTGCTAATTAAGATATGATACTAATGAGTTACACTAACAACAACTTGATATAATTTATTATTTATTAGAAATTGATTTTAATAAATTTTCAATCAACTCTTATAATTAAATTGGAAATTATATATTTCTAGGAAATAATAATTTTCATTAGCAAGTAACATTATATATAATTCATATGGTGTTAATTAATAAGTCATGCACAACATTTTGGATTAGAAAAATTCTTTTGTCTTTTACCAAAAAGTTAAAGTTTATATTTTATAAACTTGGTTTATAAAATATAAAACTTTTGTCTTCTTTCTTTTATCATTTTATGTAACAAGAGTCAAAAAAGGAAAATTATGGCTTTTTAATTATTTAAATGAGAGAATGACTCTTTGAATATTTAAATAAGAGTATAGCTTTTTGATTATTGAAATGAGAATGACTCTTTGATTATTTAAATAAGGACATGGTCTTTTGATTAGTTTATTCAAAAAGTAGGGTATTGTTTCTAATATATATACAATACTTGAGGCTTTCATTTAGTCTTGGATTTGATACACCAAAACCGTAACATAGATACAGAGAAAGAGAGAGAGAGAGAGAGAGAGAGAGAGAGAGAGAGAGAGAGAGAGAGAGAGAGAGAGAGAGAGAGAGAGAGATGAGACTCTCTTATCTTTTGTTCTTGCCTTGAAGTTTACTTGCATTTCCTTAGTCTCTTTGGTTCGTATTTTGATATGAACTAAAGCTTAAGAGTTCTTAAGAGTTTATGGACTAGCATCTTCATCAAGTTGAGTCATTATTGGTGTCTCAAAGGTTCCACATTCTTCATCAACTTCCAAGCCTCCCAAGATGACCCAAAGAACTACAAAGGTTGTTATTTGTTCATCCTTTCTATGGTTGGTATTTAATCTTTCTATAACTTGCAAGAAGATCATTCGTGGGTATAAAATGTTTATGTTATGTTCTAAAATTTTAAATCTTCCGTTGTCATAATTTTCTAGTTTATGAAACTATTTTTTAACTAAAACCCAACAATTTGTATCAGAGCCACCTTACAAGTTTGGTTAGATTTTTTGATTTTTGGAAATCTTAGTTTTTGGAGAATATAGATAACTTGTTTTTGTATAAAAATAAATTCATACATACTTTCTGTGACAACTTTATATTTGTTATTTTATGTGACAAAATTTTCATGCATCTTTTGTCATTTAAAGTTGTCTTAGAAAAATAAAGGTTGTTTTATGTGTATATTGATAGCCAAATGACCATTATGATTGTTGTGTTGTTGTGTTTGTTGTTTTTGTTGTAAAAATGGTTGTAATAATTTATTTATTCATATGGTATATAATAATTTAAAATTTAGTGAACTTATATTATGAAATCAAAACCGAATATATTTTTATCTTTAACTCAAAATCAGATACTCGTATTTTTAAAATAAAATAGCAATATACTATTATTTCTATAATAACATATTTTTTATAATAACACAATGTTTTTTTTCATAAAAATAAATATACTTATATAAGATAAATAAAGATAAATCTTAAAAATTACATCATATAAAAAACTAAAAAGTAATAAAATTATGTTTTTACGTTTCAAATACTTTTAGAAAAAAAATAGAACAAAAAATTCAATTATGTAGTTTAATTGAAAGATTATAGATAAAATCTAGACAACAAAATTTATTTATATATTTAAAAAATATATAATAACAATGTTATGAAAAAAATGGCTGAAAATGTAAAAAGAAAAAAATATAAAATACTAAAATTGTAATATTTCAAATGGTCATTGTGTAAAATTTCATAAATGGTCCTTAACCAAGTTTCATAAAATGACAGAAATAGTCATTATCCAAAAAAATTTCAACTTAACGGATTAATCTAACGGATGAAGACTATTTATGTACAAGATTGCACCGTATGGACCATATCAGAGAAAAAAGTTTCGTAAGAACAGTTTAAAGGAAAAATTGTAAAGCTAAAGGACCATTTGTGTAATTTACTCTAAAAACTAAATAGGTATAATAGGGATTTTAATTTTCGGAGAGACCATTTTCAATTACAAACTATGCCAAAAAGACCATGAAACCAAAAAATCAAAATTTAGGCTAAATCTCAGAAAAAAAATTCATACAATAGACCATTTTTATAGTTTTGTCTATATTTAAAAAATAATAATAACAAAAGAGTAAATGATCACGTACCCTCGATTTTTGTGAGTAAAAGAAAAGTAAGGAAAATGCAGTGAATGATCTTCTCGCCCATACCCTCGGGTTTTAATTTTTTCTTTTCTATTTTTTTTTAAATGGCAAATAATTATATATTCTCTTCTCCTTGAAATTGAATCCAAGACTTCTTAAGTATATAGTTAAATGTTTATTAGAGTGGTCACCCAAAAAAAAAAAAAAACGTCCTACTTTATATCCGAAATTTGTATTCACATGATTATGCTTAGTAAGATTCGAGGATCGCCTATTTGTTTACTTCACATCATATTTCATTACACGCACAATCGTCTATCAAATTCATTACACGCACAATCGTCTATCAAATTCATTACACATGAAATCGTATACCCTAGATCTGACTTCTTCAACAAGTACACGTTTGAGAATCTTCCCTGAAGCCGACTTCCGAATGCTATCTAGAAATATCACTCGCCTCAATTGAAAATAAGGAGCAACCTATATCATTTATAGTCCAATGAGTATCATCGTGTCTTGAAAATTATCACCAAAAATGAATATGAATCTTTACCTGGTTAGCAATGAACCTATTAACATCTTGTTCAGTCAAAAAACAGTTTGGAAACCGAACCACAAATGCAATCGGGACCTCACCCCTTTCATTATCTGGATACCTGATAGAGACGATGATAATTAAAGTGTTTATATAGAACCCTAAATCATAAATGAATATCAAGGGTTGTAAAAGATTTCTTTTTGACTTACGGGATTACTGCAGCCTCTAATATTTCAGAATGTGAAAGCAATCGTGCTTCAAGCTCTGAGGGTGCAACCTGAAGAACATGAACGTATACATCAAAGCTTAGAGACTACCAAAACAAGATCTTTATACAATTATACTATATATATGCGTGATCGAAATTAACATTTTTTACCTGAAACCCATTAGACTTAATGAGATCTTTAACCCTATCAACCACGAATAATTGACCTTTATCATCAAAATATCCAAGATCGCCAGTATGTACGAAACCATGTTCATCTATTTTAAGCCTCGTAGCCTGAGGATTATTGAGATAACCTTGCATCATGCTAGCTCCTCGAACCCATATCTCGCCAATATGATTAGGAGGAAGAGACTCGTAGTTATTGGTATCTAGACTAACTATTTGAGCCTCGATTCCAGGTAAAAGCCTCCCGGTTGAACCAGAGAGTACTCCATGACCCATAATTGGACTCCCCATTGAGATGGCTGCTGTTGTTTCAGTCATACCATATCCCTGTTGTATACAAGGTTGCAATTATTACTTCATTTAGAGTAAATTACAAGAATGGTCCCTTTTCTTTCGGATTTTTATCATATTTAGTTCAAAAAATGACACATTTTTTAAATTTGGATGAAATATAAAGGTTTCATATCAAATTTCGTGCCTGAAATCTTGAAATAAGGATAAAAATTGATATAAAACCTTGCATTGAGGACCAAAACGGATTAAGGTTTCTTTCTTGAAATTAACATGATATAATGTGAAAGAACAGGTACCATTATGGTAATTTTATCTTAAATTCATTATCTCAAATTCAAATGGAATTCAAGTTTACCTGAAGAACGAAAACATGAGGGAACCTCTTGGTGCACTCCATTAACAACCCTTTCCCTAATGGTGCACCACCCGAAATGATTACTTTCAGTGACGAAATATGAAACCTCTTGACCACATTTTGCTTAGTGAAAGAAAGTATAACAGGTGGAACAGCCCATAAATGTGTCACTCTATACGTATCGATGTTCTTTAAAACCCCATGAAAACTAAACTTCCCCATTGATATAATGGTATTCCCTTCCTGTAATTGAGAATATAGTATAACCGAAAATGCATATATATGAAACATCGGCAAGAAACACAAGTGTACGTAATCTTGTTCCCCCATTAATCTTTGATCAGAAGTCACCATTTGTGAAGCTGCGATGAAGTTCTTGTGGCTCAAAATCACACCCTTACGAACGCCTATTGTCCCAGAAGAGTAGAGTAAGGCCGCGGTATCATCTCCTCGAATCGAGACATTAGGAAGTTCTGAGACTGACCCAGATCTTGAAATCAAATCTTGATATGAAAAACACCCGTTTCTTGAACTTTTTGATCCTAAAAACACAACCGGGAGGTCAAAATTTTCAAGTTTTTGATACAGTTCCTGAACGGTGATGATGAGTTTTGGGTTAGAGTCTTGAATTTGTGTTGATAGCTCTTCGATGGTCAACTGAGGGTTGACGGTGGTGACAATGGCGCCAAGAGCGATGATTGAGTATGAGCAGATGGGGTATTGGATTGAATTAGGGGCGAAAATGAGAACGACGTCGTTCTTGGTGATACCCAGGTGGTTGTTTAAGGCGTAAGAGAGCTTGGCGACGGCGGTTTTGAATTCGGAGAAAGTCAGGTTCTCTGCCGGAGTCGGAGTCAAATAAGGCAGGTTTGTTCGGGTAAGATGAAACGTTGCGGAAGAGAAAAGGAATCATTGAGGTATAGGGGTCTGGGGGAATGACTAGTGGTGGCCGGAGTGATCGGAATACGCCGTCGCGTCTATACCCGGATTTCTCCATCGACTCTGTGCGTCTCTGTAACTGCGAAAGTGTTCTAGTAACAAATGCTTTCCAAATGCGCGGTAATTTGATTTCTTGATCTCTTATACATTCTCTTTATTAGGCTGCAGGGTGTGGTGCGGTTCTAGGGAGTGCGGTTTCGCCACATAACTCTGGGTGCGGTTTGGTGCGGTTCAAACCGCAGTGCGGCAAAAAATGGTCGCGGCTTGTGATTGGGGTAGATAATTTAACTGTTTTGTGATTGGGTGGGGAGAAATTAAAGTTTTTATTTAATTTTTTTTTAAATAAAATGTGACACCACTCCTTGGGTGTGGCAAGGAACCGCACTTTTGTGGTAAAAATGACGTGACGCTTACGTGGCAACGAAGAGAGTACGGTTTCGGTGGCACCACTCCCTCCAGCCTTACGATCAAACTTGTAATCCGTATATTTTTTTTGTTCTTTATATAATATACATTTGATATATTTCATGTACTTTAGTGGCTTTTTAATTAATTTAAACATTAATCTAGCTAAATCAATCAACCGATATGTTATCTTTTATAAACTTTTTTAGAATATTTTTAATTTTAGTTTTTAGACCGGTAAATCGTGTGTCATCATTTGCTAACATAGATGTCACATTATTATTGTAGTTATAAATGTAATTTCTATTGATGTTGTTAAAGCCACAAACCCTTTCATTCGAGACATACAAAGTACAAACCCTAATTTCCAACTACTTTGTATACATAATTTTGGAAAAAAAATATGATAAAATAACATGAAGATGATAGAAGGCAACTCAACAACAAATTTTGAAATAGATTTTTCTAGATTGCTAATTTTTTTTGTAAAAAAATCTATATTCATAAATTTTGGAGGCCATAATATTAATATGCATGACACTTTGGACTATACAGAAAAACTCACACATTTGCTGCAAAGAAAACAAAAGTATCAAATGCCAATGATATAAATAAATGTTTATTATCCATACAAGTTCTTATGTATTTTGTCACTTTTGCATGAGACAACTTTCAAAACAACTTTTCTCATAATGGAACCCCCACTACTCAAGCCCATGATAGTGGGAAACCTTTGATAGATCCACAGACGTATTTTTACCTCTCATCCAAAAACCAAAATATATGTGGATGTAAGTGTTCATCTTTCTTCAAGGGGTCAGTCAAGAACTTCATTAATGCTTCGTTCTTAGCGAAAACCACGACACATCTAAACATATTAAACAGAACGTCCCCTAAGCATATTGTGTAGGCACTTGAAACCTATGAGATGTCTACAATGTAATGCATGCTCCCCAAGAAAAGTCCAAAACATGCACTGCAATAAACAAGTCATGTCTCGTCAACTAGAGATAACATAATCATAATGAGATACTTAAGTTTTTACATTACTCTATTTTTGACATATGTTACCCTAAACTATCTACAAGGATCTCCAAAAGAAAATCACGAGCATGTGGTACTAAAAACACTCAAAAACTACTTACTGCCTAATAATCATGTTGAAATGTAATTTCATGTCATGAACAATTTTACTAAAGAGTCACTCGCCAATGTGTGTTAGGCCTTAGGGTTGGTGTCCTTGTTATCAAAAATGCTAAAGTTAAATCTAAAAAATGTATCATAAAGACAAGCCCACATACAAACATAATCATAATCAATACCACATATGTAATTATATCCGCAAGATATCGTCTTGTAACACTAAGACACATGAGGCCACAAAAGCATATAAGGAAGCATATATTGTTGAGTATATCCTTAACCACCAAATTAAATAGATAAAGAAGCAAGTATCCACTTGATGTCTTTAAAGAAAAGACCTCTACCAACCACTATATCCTCAATTGACCCGCACACATGAACCGTTTGTAAAGAATAGTGTTGCCTACCTAATATATACGATTTAGTACATCCTCAAGTCAAAGAAAAGTTTGGAAATATCCATACAAGATCAAAGAAATAAAAGCTCACTCTGCAGGTCAACTAACTGTGGAAGATGACGTATTGCTGATAAGGCAAAGATTTGAATTAGGAGTAAATTTGATTGTTTGATCAATTTAAATATGGTTTTTCTACAAGTTTGTTCATGTATAAATAAACCTTCATGACCTTTATTAATTTAGTCTCTAACACTCTTCCATTATTAGATTTCAAGTCTTGAAAGTCATTTCTTCTCTTTCCTTGATTTACCATTGTTTAAACTTTTGGGTGTAATACTTTAGAGGCATTCTACATTGGATGCTAAACTTCCAGAAGCTTCAAAGGTTTTCAAGATCTACAAGGATTCAAGAAGAAAATTCATTATTGCTTGAAGGTTAGTAATCCTATCTCTCTTTGTAGTATTAATTAATAGTTTTAAAAGTAGATTGCTATAACTAGTAAAACCTAGATCTCAGGCGCATGTACACTTAGGTAAATTTTGAATGCTTCTGCTCTCTATATAGAGTGTATTACTGCATAGAAAACCCAACTGTTGTATTAGAGCCTATATGTTTTCATTATATGTACTGCTTGATCCAAGAGATTTAATTGAAATAGTATTTGCATCTAGGTTTTTTCAAATTTAGAGTTTCAGGGTGCGAATGTTTTTATAATTTCATTTATGTGGTTCTTTTTATTCGTTATGCCCAAAGCTTGGGTTTATTAAACATAACCCTAAAGCTAAAATCAAAACTGAAAAGAAACATGTGAGTCGATAGGCGCAACGCGCCTCCTTTAGGGCGCGTCGTGTTTCTACATTTTGGCTCATTTGGTTTTGAAACTCTAACTTGGTTGACAAGTTTCCTAACTTGTGCAACAAACAAGGTAAATCTAAAGATTTTTTTGAATTTTGAACAATTCCCTCTTGCCTAAAATATTATTTTAGTTGTTTAAATCTGGATATTCGAATTTTAGAGTAATTTGTATTATTATCTAATAAGATTTTGAATTGAATACTTAATTAATTAAAAATTGAATATTATTTAAACTTAAACTTAAAACTGGAATATTTATCTTCATATATTATTTAATGAGATAAATAAACTGGAATATTTAAATAAAAGGAATATAAATTTAAACGGGGTTTAAATTTATATATGTAATATGATTACTATATGTATAACAATCGTACAACCACTACTAGAAAACAGCCTTTTAATGACACACAAACAATGACACACAATGATAGAGGACACGCATTTGTGCGTGCCCTAAAAATAGTGTTAGATTTCCAAAATTATAAAGGTAAAGGACACATATTTGTGCACGCCCTAAAATTAGTTTCCAACAAAAATACGGAAGGCACCTATCCTAAAATGTGTGCCGTGTTAATGTGTCGTTTTATAATTTTTTCTACGAACGCGCTTCTCCAATTTTTTAATAGGCAAGCGGGAAATGAAATCCCAAAAAATTAAAACCCTGCCTGTGCGTCTCCTCCTTCTCCTTCGTGTGTTGTTCCTTTTCTTTATCTCAAACCCTACTTGAATTTCACCATATAATTCATACTCTCCACCAGTCGACAACCTTCACTCTCTCCTTCTCATTTTCTCTATAAACCCTAATCCGCTTCCACCACTACCGAATCCCTTTTGTTTATCCTAAAGGAATAACGTAACCAAGCTCGTATCTCAGATCAAGTACTCCGGCGTGGAGTTAAGAATTGAAGGCCCGCTTCAGGCTCAAATCCTCGCTGACGTGCATCACGTGATATTCCAGACCACCGAGGTTTGATCGACTTGACGGCTCCGCTCGGAGGCTGGAGCAGCGGCTCGGGTCCATGAAAATCGGAGGAGGCGATGAATAACATGAAAGAGGAGATCTTGTTCTTGACTGTATCCCAGTCTCCGAGTGTACAAAAAGGCAAGATATTTGGGGGATTCTTTCAAGAAGCAAGTTCAATGTACAACAACTAAAGTTTACTTGGTATCAAATGCTTCTTGCCCAGGTTGTTTTTCTACATTCGAAATTTGTACTTGATCTCAATTAAGCGATGTCATTTTAATGTCGATGCCTATGGCCCAGGTTGTTTTTTTGCATTCGAAATATGTACTTCTCTCTAAAGTTGTATCCTTTTAGTTATAGTTTTCTTCTTGGTTTTACATGTAAAAATCTTACTATCTTGTTTAAAAGGGTTACAAAATCTTCCTTAACTCTGAATAGTTCCCTGAGTTTTCTGCCTCTTTAGATGAAGAAGGCATTTGCAAGCATGCATTTGACATTTTACCCTTTAGATAGAGAGGGGAAAACTGGAAAAGGGTCTATTTTTCCAGTAAATTTGAAAAGGGTTTAGCTGCTGCTGCTAAGTTATCTGATGAGGTTGGCCTCTGTAATTTCACATATATATTAAAATCATTTTGTTATACCGAATGCAATTCACATATGAAGGACATAATAAGCTCAACGACGTGGTTTCTTTAGAGAAACATGTGCTTTTAGAAAAAGCTTAAAGATGCACTTGAATCATTGAGAGGGCGTGTTGTTGGTAAAAACAAAGATGATGTGGAGGAGGCTATTTCCATGGTAGTTTTTCTTTTTTAGATGATATAAACACAGTCCATATTTTTTGCATTTGAATTAAGTTGCTAAAAATGTTCATTTTTTATGTTTATGGTTACGTTGAAGCTTTATCAGGTCAATTGACACAAAGGGAAGGAGAGGTGGTTCAAGAAAAGGCTGAGGTTAAGAAGCTTGCAAGTTTTCTAAAGCAGGTTAGTAATAGTATTTCCATATTTTAGTTTATCACCTTAAAGAAATTATTTTTTCTCTTATATTTATGCTGTTTAGTTTTGGTAAAGATTTATAATTACATGTAGGCTTTAGAAGATGCAAAAAAGCTTGTTGACGAAGAGAGAGCTTTTGCAACAACTGAAATTGAGAAAGCTAGAGCTGCAGTTCAGAGAGTGTAAGAAACTCTTCAGGAGCAAGAAAAAATGTCCCAAGCTACAGGGACACAGGTTTGTTTGTTTAGAGTTTTATAAAAAATGTTAGATGTTTGTAGATTTTACTTATAGCTATTCTTTAAAGCAATATTACAAAGTGCACTTTATAAAAGGAAACTTTTGAAGTTCCTGAAATGAATAAAATAAACAGAAACAAAAACAAAAAGCAAAAACACTTGTTAGGTTAATAATAGCATGGAACACATGAAATATAAACTTCCACTTTTTACCATCTTTTCTTTTTGTTCTTTATGAGTGTCAAGATATTTAAAGAGTTATAGTGCTAATTTATGATGATGAATTGTAATCCATTATACTATATATATAGTTTTATTGTGAAAATATCTATATGTGTTATATATAGTTAGGATCTGGAAGAACTAATGAAGGAAGTACAAGAGGTTAGAAGGATCAAGATGTTGCATCAGCCTAGTAAGGTACACCATGCTAATTGCATTTGGTTTTGGTGTACTTTTTGTTATTATTAATTTTGACCTTTTCATTTATTAGTTTCTTATATTTTAGGAGTTTAAGAATCTAACTTTTTGTTGTCCATGTTCTTTATGAAGGTTGCTAAGCCAAACAATTTTGAAGATTTCTATTGCTTCTCCTTTCGTTACTCCTTAACAGGATTTATGTTTGTTTTGAACTCCAAATAGCATCTCAAATACCATTTTATTTTATTTTTTGAATTTCTATTTACTTTGTTGATCTGTAGTATTCTGTTTAGTAAAAAGTCACTAAATCTGTCAAGGGCAGTTTGGTCTTTTGACAGTAGAGTCATCTAGATGCTGGTATAAATAGCAGGTCAAGGCAAACCTGTTTCAACATTTACCCTATACAAATGCCTTCTCCATTGGAAATATCTTGAAGAAGAAAAAACAAGCTTATTTGATCCAATTGTTCAGATTATTATTTCAGCAACTGAGGTAATTCCTTAGACAACGGTGAACAAAGCACTATCTAGATAAGTTCCTTAACTGTTAACATTAATATGGTCATTTTTATTTTATGTTCCATGATGTGCTTTTCTACTTATATGTCTAGGGATTTCATTCGTCGATGTCTTCTATTCACCTTTGTGAGGCTGAGGCTGCACCTAACGTAGTACAACAAGTTGAAGCCAAATACCCAGCCTATGCTTTCGTGCAAAAACTAAAAATATTTGTAGAGAAAATGTATGGCATTATTTGTGACACCTTGAAAAAGGAGTTGGAAGCAATATTTGCCTTGTGTATTCAGGTAGTTGACCTTCTGTACAGTCCTTTAACAAAGATTTACAGTTCAGTAACTGGAAACGTATTATTGATCACCTTAACTCTCTTCTCCACATATTGAAAGACAAATTTGTATGTGAATTATACATGGCCTCTTATACCTAGCACAATTCTTTTCCAGAAAATATAGACATATGTTGACAGATAAACATAGATACAATGGTTCGGTTATACAAACATCACCAAACTTTTAATAATTGCATCAAAGTGGATTTCAATTGTTGGCTATATTTTGCTATATTTTCTCATCTAATTTCATTTATATGGTAAACATGATTGTGATTTGCAACCTAAATACCTTGAAATTTTGATGCCACCATTGATTGGAAAATGGCAGCAGCTTTCAAACTCAGACAAAGATCTTTTCCTACTTTTTGAGTGCTTTACATCCATAGTACATGTATTGTTTCTGTTTCTTATCAGTTTTATTGTAAAAAACTAAAAAAATAAGAGGCCTTTGGATAAAGCCCTCCTGGTCCAAAAAAGCCCAGAAAAGACCCAGTCTCCAAAACTTCAGCACCAAAATCTTGTTAAACTCCTCGGATGTTTCATATAAGGAGATTAAAAGTTGTTATGAGTACATGCTAAATAGAAGCTTAGACTTGTGTGTATTTGGTCAAAATCACATAATTGCCATTAATTTAACGTTTACGAACTAAGCATTCATCGAAACTGAATATGACTACATCTTCATGTTGGGCAGATAAGACACGAAGTTCTCAACTTGATTGGACGTACAACGCGTTTTAACATTATCAAGGGAATTGCTCGAGGACTTCTTTATCTGCATCAAGATTCACGATTAAGAATCATCCATAGAGATCTTAAAGCTAGCAATGTTTTACTTGATTTGGACATAAACCCTAAGATATCATACTTTGGCATGGCTAGAAGCTTTCGAGGAAACGAGACTCAAGCAAACACACAGAGAGTTATTGGCACATAGTAAGCTAGATAATGCAACTGTATATAAATTCTGCTTCTCTTGAGTTCATTTTTTTATTACATTTACTCAATATTGGAATAATTATTTGTATTGGACATATTAGACAAATGAATTATCTTTGTTATTTATGGTATTTTATTTTATATTATTGGAATAATTATTTGTATTTGACATATTAGTGAAATAAACTTTGTAAATGGTTGCTGAATTTTATGACACACAAATGTGTGTCATCTTCATTTATGAAAGGGGATTTAATGATACGTAATGTGTGTCCTAAACGCACGTCCTAAGGTTACGACACGCAAATGCGTGTCATCTTCCTTTATGGAAGGGCCTTCCTTGACACGCAATGCATGTCGTAAATGTGTGTCGTAAATGCGCGTCATAAATGCATGTCGTAAATAGACGACACGCAAAAGCGTTTCGCCTTTCGTTATGACAGGGCCTTCCTTGACATAGATTTGTGTGTCGTCTGAGCGTTTTACGACATGCATTGCGTGTCGTAAAAGGCTGTTTTTGTAGTAGTGAACATGTGTCCTCACGTGTTTGATAATACATTGTTAGTTGAATCAAGAGTAGGCCTCATTAATGAGATCATGATATAAGTGAGGTATAAGGGAACGAACTATAAAATGACTGTTGAATAAGTGTCATTTTCACTCACCGCTTCTTTTCATGGTTGATTGTCGTTAGCCGAAAGGGTTTGATAAGACAATGTCTTGTTAAAAGTATAATGTATAAATTACTAAAACAAAATTCTCGTCTTAGATATATTATGAATGTGAATAGTTGCTAAGCCATGAAAAACATACATTATTCCTTATTGTCTATTTGTGGAGCTTGTGTTATTAACCGACACATAAATTTGAGACGTAAGAAGAAGATGATGTGGCACTTGAGGTTGTAGTTTGGTTGTGGGGCGTGTGTCGTTAAGTGACACGTCAATTAGAGAACCATAACGTAATCAGGGGTCATGCATTTTTGAATGGTTGGTTCACCATTTTATTTGTGAGACCTTGGTATCCCATTCACAAATAAAGGATGTGTAAATATGAGATTAACATGCCATTAAATAGTTTTAATAAATCTCAAACGGTCTAGGAGTTTCATGGAGATTGAAACCGACAAAGTGCATTGCCTACCTAAATAACTTTGTGGTATGTTACGACATCTTAGACATCGTAAATCCAAATATGGATCCTAGTCTTAGTAATAATAAATTAGGGTTGAAAAATTTATTTAAAAGATTAATAAAACAAACAAGAAAGGAATTAATATTGAATAATGTCTATACGATAATCAACTAAAATCTACTGCTATAAAACCACCTATAGGATTAGCCGATATGATGATCAATCTAGTCCAAATTAGTAGTTTGGGAATAGTTATCATTTACGAATAGAAAGACCATGTATTAGATTTGTGAGGCCTCGGTATCCCATGCACAAATAGAGGATGTGCAAATCTAAGATTAACATGCCATTAAATAGTTTTAATAAATCTCAAACGGTCTAGGAGTTTCGTGGAGATTGAAACCAACAAAGTGCATTACATACCTAAATAGCTTTGTGGTGTGTTTACGACATGTTACACATCGCAAATCCAAATATGGATCCTAGCCTTAGTAAATAATAAATTAGGG